GCGCTGCAACCACCGCGACGCCAGCATGCTGGGCTCGCTGGCCTACAACGTGCTGCTCATCGCGCTCTGCACGCTGTACGCCTTCAAGACCCGCAAGTGCCCTGAGAACTTCAACGAGGCCAAGTTCATCGGCTTCACCATGTACACCACCTGCATCATCTGGCTGGCCTTCCTGCCCATCTTCTACGTCACCTCCAGCGACTACCGGGTGAGCTGCCCCTGCGGAGGCTGGGGTGGGGCCCCGGGCCTCCTGTTTCCTGGGTCTCAGGTCATCTTCCGACAACACAGAGGCTCCCACAGCTTAACCGCTCCCCGGCGGCCCACAGTTTGTGGTGGCCCAGCTGGGACTGGACCCAGAGGAAGGTGGGAAGGCTGAGGGGGGCCTGGGGAATCGGCCCGGGGGGCGGAGGAGTGAGAGGGACTAGAAAGCTTCGTGGAGGAGGAGTCCTTGAACTGGGCTCTGCAGGCAGGAAGGCAGCTTTGAACAGGGAGAGTGGAGCCACTGGGGGGGAGGGTGGAGACAGTGGCAGGGCGGCGGAGGGCGCTGATTAGAGCAGAGGGCGAGCACTGCCCCTGCGTCGAGGAGGGAGGCACGCACATATGGCCGGCAGGGAGGCAGAGGCGCAGGTGGAGACCTGGAGTGAGGAGGAGAGTCAGGGAGCACGCAGCTCCAGAGGGCACCATCTCCAATGCCCCCAGAGCCGTGCAGTGAAGCGTGGTGCCCCCTGGGCTGTGTCCCTCCGGGTTGAGAGATGAAACCAGGGGAGGCGGGGAAGGAGAAGCAAAGAGGGAGCCGGGGCCGGGGCACGGGCTGAGGGGGGCACAGCAGGTGGACCCCAGGTGGTGGCTTCCGCTTCGGCGGGGCTCAGGGAGGCCTGTCTGCAGAGGCCACAAGGAGCTGCTCTGAGTGGGAAAAGGTCGTCTCGGCGACTCCTCAGCTGGCGTGAACCTCGCGGCTCTCCCGTTCTACAGACGCAGACACGGACCTCAGGGAGGTTCAGGCCCTGCCTGAGGGCACTCAGCTTGCAAGTGTAGAGCAGGGTCTGAACTGACAACCTTAACAGTTAAAGGAGCAGGAAACCAAGGCCAGAGCCCCTGCAAAGGCCCTTCCCCCGGGACAGAGGTACGGTGGGCGGTGCTGGGGGCCAGGGTCTGCTGGGCTTGGCTGCTGTGCACCTGCTGGGCCGCCTGCCTGGGAGGTGGAGGCAGGGCCGGGCGGGAATGGCTCTCACTCAGCCTGCATTTGCATAGGATTTGCATGCTCATCACAGGTGGCTAAGGACTCACCTGAGACACAGAGTATTCACACATCCATCGGCATACAAACATGCATGTATTTCCACACTCACACACATGTGCACACCTCAGTACACCTGGCACACACCCCCCTCGTCCCACCTGCACACACTCCCCACCCCCTGCATACACATGCCCAACAGATACACATGCACTTACACACATGCCCTCCATACCTGCGTCCCTCCACACACATGAGCACACACAAGTGCACACACGCTCCATGTGTACATGCTCCCCTGCATGATCACCCCACAGCTGGTACCTCGGCTCCCTGGGGAGATGGCCCACCGGGGCCGACGCTGGCTGTGCCCT